GCTCACACCCCACCAGCCCCCCAAGGCAGCCATCAAGCTGCCTTGTAAATCCACTTGTTCTGCATGGAGAATAATCCCCACCATCCAAGTTTTGGGGGAACCATGGACTCAAGTAGCAGAGGGAAATTGCCCTTTGCAGTAAAGGAGTCAGTCCTCACTTCTGCATGGGCATTTCAGTCTGTCACCTTTCCTTGCAGGAAAGAATTTCAGAAGGAGGACAAATAGTGAAGCAAAAATATTTTTACTTTGTTTTTTTAGGGGCTACACTGGGGTCTGCTTAGGCTCTGTGCCATTCAGGGATTCCACTGGCTAGTTTAGGAGAGCATATGGGGTGCTCAGTATCGAAAGCCAGAAAGTCAGTTTGCAAGGCAAGTGGCTTTCACACTATATTGTTGCTCAGATATATATTTTTATATATATATATATATATACATATATATATTCCTAAGATAACCACATATATATTACAGAGGGAACCACATGTAATGTCTCGGAATGCATCAAAATATGAAACATGCAAGACATGGCTTAGCACCTGTACTATCTCTATGTAACTGAAACCAAGATGAATTTGACCTTCAATTACTGATTATATTTAAGTGTCAATAAGCTATGAGCTGTCTTATAAGCATGTTTATTAAGCTTGTAGAAATATGTTTTTTAATCACATGGTCATCCCTTCAACTGAGTTATGGACAATGATTATAGAATGTTCTGTATCCATCATTTAATTATTCCTTAGAAAGATAACAATTTTTTTGTGTTAATGAAATTTAGCATTAACACAAAAATGTTATTATCTTGAAGGAAGATAAGGAATTGGTAGTAAGAATCACATTTCAAATGCTAAATCTAATATTTATTTGTTGGAACAATTACTACAGCTCTATTTTCTTCCATAAGAACTGCTATTGTTTTTTTTTTTTATAGCTGTTCTTCTTATAATGTCAACTAGAGATCAACTGAGTGAACATCAACAGAGATCTGTTTAGAATTGTCGGGCCATCCGAGATTTAGTGAAGAATAATATTAATTGCATCAAGATCTCCATGAAATTTCTTTGCACTTTAAAGCACGGTTTTATAGTTTTAAGCAAAGTACCCAATAACTTGAAGCTGTTTAATATTTTTCTTATTGAGCTATTTGCTGAATCTATGCCTCTCATGTGCTAGGCAAAGCAATTTATACTGGAGAAGGTAACTTAGAATAGATTAAAAAACTTCACAGCAACAAGAAATTGTGTTACTGATTCCTAAGATAACCACATTGATTAATAATCTAAATCTTTAAGAATTTTAAAAATATCTTCAATAATCTTTAATAAACAGTATATTTCAGTGATAATATATATATACTTACTTTAACAATTAATTTTATTTTTCAGGGCCATATAAATTACAGTTGTCTTACCATAGGTAGAACGTTGGCCTTGATGATATATAGGCAATAATACAAGCTTGGGTTCATAAATCCATCAGAGACAATGAGTACCATAGCTCTTATACATTCATGTATCTGTGCATGAAATAACTGTGTGAAGTGACGCAGGAAATAACTGATTCATAGAATTTAAATTTTTTCATAGGGGATAGTTCAGTGGCTATCTCAATGACATTTCAGAAGAAGTCCTTCTCACAATCTCACCCCTCAAAAAACAACCCTTATTTTAACTTTATTCTGCATAGTTTTCTTAAATAATGGTTTACTTATGAAGAAGAGGAATAGTTGATAAAAAATATTGTTGTTCTTTTGTTTGGGGGCCCTACCTGGCTGCGCTCCTGGTTTACTCCTGGTTCTGCACTCAGGGATCACTCCTGAAGAGACTCAGAGGGACCATATGGGGTGCTTGGATTTGAACTTGAGTTGACTGTGTGCAAAGGCAAGCGTTCTGGCCCTAGTTGATAAAAATGTTGAGTCTCATTTTTTTTTGGTGCTACATTAAATCATGAAGCAGTAGTAGTTTTCTCTAAGTAAACAATAACTACATTAATAGTAAATTACTTTAATATAGTTTTGTCACCTAGAATGAATGCAACAAATGCAAATGAACATTTGTGAGTGGATTAACTCAGCCACAACAATAATACATGAGAAAAATTTAAGAATCTGTATCGAAATATCTGCTTTTATCTTCACATTTTCATTATCAAAATTAATCACTGTCACTGTCACTGACATCCCATTGTTCATCAATTTACTCAAGTGGGTGCCAGTGACATCTCCATTTGTCCCAGCCCTGAGATTTTAGCAGCCTCTCCTTACTCGTCTTTCCCAATGTATTGAAGGCTCTTTCAGGGTCAGGGTAATGAGACCGTTATTGTTACTGTTTTTGGCCTATTGAACACGCCACGGTTAGCTTGCCAGGCCCTTCCATGTGGGCAGGATACTCTCGGTAGCTTGCCGGGATCTCCAAGAGAAATATATTTATATATATGTATTTATATATATATATTCACATATATGTATGCCATATATGTGTATGTATATATGCATATATGTATGTGTATATATATATGTATCTATAAGATCTGTTGCCAAAATTAATATCTCACCAATTTTCCTTTGTTAATATTTAGTATATCATTCAACAATTTTGATCTAAAATTAATTACTCTCAGGGCCTGAATGACAGTACAGCTTGTAGAGCAATTGCCTTGTGCACAGCCAACCAGGGTTTGATCCCTGGCATCTCATATGGTCCCCTGAGCCTCACCTGGAGTGTTCTGAGTACAGAGCCATAAGTAAGTCATGAGCACCTGCCAAATATAGTCCCAAATTAAAAAATAAATAATAAAATTAATCAATCTTTTCCAAAAGAGACTAGGTAAACTTTGTAGATGGATCCTCTAGCCAAAATATTAATGATTATTGGGTAGCTTTCACCTGTTTTGCGAGTTTTACTTCTTTATTGATGGTGACTATTTTACCATACATTTTGCCTACCATGCTCAAAGTGAAGCTCTATTTTTATTAAATAGAATTGAAGGTGGAAATCATTCTAAATTCATATAATGCTGACCTGCAAGTAAAATGATGATGAAACGCATAAAAACTATTTGAATTTCAAAAACAGAATAGAATGTTATGATGCAACCAAACTGCTGTTACTCTCTTATATTTTGCTTTTCATATATATAAATATTTTATAGATGTAGATGCTTAGTGGAGTGATAGCACAGTGGGTAGGGCGTTCGCCTTACAAGCGGCCAACATGGCCGACCCGAGTTCGATTCCTCCGCCCCTCTCGGAGAGCCCGGCAAGCTACCGAGAGTATTTGGTATGCCAGACACAGTAACAACAAAGTCTCCAATGGAGACGTTACTGGGCCCGCTCGAGCAAATCGACGATCAACGGGAGGGCCTTTACCTTTACCTTTACCTTTAGATGCTTAGTGGATATTTTTCAAATTAATATATGCTGACAAAATGTTGGGGTTCAATCCCATATACATTAATTTTAGCAGATGATTAAAATATCAATAGGCAATCGGTATTTATTTCTCTTATATTTCTTCCTATAACACCCAGATTCTGAATTGTTTTACTTGCTTTGAGTAAGAGTAAAACATTAATTTTAGAATGTTGAATTCATGTCATGTGCTATATTGTTCATGAGTGGTCGGGAACATTTGATGAATTTTTATATTGAGAAATAATTTTCATTTTCTTATTGTTCAAAATAGTTTACATGAAAAAGTAACCCAATAAAGTTATATTCCCGAGGTTGAAGTGAGAAATAGTACAGGGGGTAGGGCATTTGCCTTGAGCACAGCCGACCTGGGTTGAATCTCTGGATTCAATATAGCTTCCAGAGCAACAGAAGTACTAAATTCCTAAGTGCAAAGCCAGGAGTAATCCCTGAGTATTGCTGCATGTGGCCGAAAAACAAACAAAGGAAAAGAAAAATCCAAATTTATAATGCTCTTTTGGCATTAAAAAAATTCCTGATGAACTTTATTTCTGCTCACAATGTACAGTTATTATCGTCTATTGTCATAATGGCTTAAAACTACACAAGAACAAAAAAATCACACCTTGACTGAAGGAAGCACTATGAATAACAAACTTCGAGTGAGCACCTAGATTAATATGCAAATTACATTCCTAAAGGTTTCCCATTGGATTAATTGCTTGAAAACTGAAACCTGGACTCTTTGGATCCACAAACAAGGTGAAAAGTATTTCTGAAAATGAGTCCTAAAAAGAAAAGTCAGTTATTCTATCGAACCTCACCAGTGTGCTCAAAAAAACCTGAGCAGCTGAGTCACTGGAAACCTTTTTTCAAAAAAAAAAAATTAGATTCTCATGCTGCACCCTGAAGCTTCTGAGTTCCATTCTTCATGGTAATAAATTCTTAGGCACATTTTAAAGTTGGAGGAGTACTGGGATCCTATTTCCAATCCTGAACTCTGATTCTGATTGTATAGTACCATTTGAGATTCTGCAAAATGCATCGTGACCCCTATACCTTTTCTTCATAGTAGACACGATTCATAGAATTCTCAAAAAGAATGAATTGCATACATGACTAGAATTTAGAACAGAAAGTAAATCTCGGCTTTACATACTTTAAACCCCCATGAACATGTCACTTTATGTTTTTATGAATTTCTGAGTTCCACAGTTTCTTTTTTTTTCCCCTACACAAAGGATGAAATTACGTGCACTAAATGAATACATCCATCCCTTTTGTACCCAGTCTTCAACTGACAGTTTCTCAATGTTATTTTTGTTTTTACAGACTTGCAGGGATCATGCTGCTTTGTTCCCTACAGGAGTTAAAATAAAATATTAGTAATTATGCATATTTAATTTTGAAAATGCCAAGTGATTATTCACAGCATTTATAAAAATGGAAATTATTTTAGATATTCACAAAATGTTTTCTTAGTATAAGAGTTTCAGGTCTAAAGTTGCATTATTATTATAGATAATTTCATTACAATGATAATTGTGAATAGGGAATTCATTAACATGTCTTTTCTTTTTCCTCTTTTCCAGATGCAAGACAAAGGTTTACCCTGATGAACTTCCAAACACAAGTGTAGTCATTGTGTTTCATAATGAAGCTTGGAGTACTCTTCTCAGAACTGTTTACAGTGTTATAAATCGTTCCCCACACTATCTACTCTCTGAAGTCATTTTGGTAGATGATGCCAGTGAAAGAGGTATACATATTATCTGTGGTGTGTGCGAGTGAGTGAGTGTGTGTGTGTGTGTGTGTGCGTGTGTGTGTGTGTGTGTGTGTTTGTAGGAGAGTTTGAGCTATACCCAGTTTTGCTTGGTGCTTACTCCTGCTCTTTTATCAGGGATTGGTCTTGGCAATGCTGGAGTATATAAGATACATCAAAGGAGTGTCTCCTCAAATCAAAGGAGTGTCTGTGCATACAAAGCCAGAACCTTACCCCAGTACTATCCAGCCCTACTTGTCTATATTTTTAATTAGAAAACTTCATTTTAGTCAAACAGGTAGCTGGGAAATATTTTGTAGTGTCCTTATAAACTGTATGCACCCAGAAAATTCCATGGATTTATCATCAACATTTACTTACCCAATCAATGACCACCTCAGAAACATGTAGCCAGTTTTTTGAGGTTCTTTTTGTTTGGTTGGTTGGTTGGTCGATTTGTGAGCACATCTGACAGTGCTCAGAGTTTACTCCTACTTATGCACTTAGATTTCATAACTAGAGGGGTTGGGAAACATAGAGGGTGCCACAAATTGGCTACATAATACGCAAGCATCCCACCCACTATACTGTGAAATTCTTGATACCATTTGGCTCTTACTAATCAGCACATAAAAATAATTGACGTTCAAAACTGTTTTTTTTTTTTAAAATATCAACTCAGTAGTGCATGTGATTGACAGTTCTATGACTTCAAGGATACTTGTCTCCTTTCACCCCATTTAGTTCAGATATTCATAAAAATAGCTTCACTCACCTATGTATCCATTATCTAAATTAGGGTCTGGTATATGTCCTATTTATCCTTATCCTATGTATCCTCATCCTTGTCAGCAGAGGTTATAATATACTGTACTTTAGTAGTGGATGAAATTTCCGTCTTTTGTTTGTTTATTTTTTATCAAATGCAAAAACAAAATAAAAAATCTTACAAAATTGGTTATCATTTGTTGAAGTCCATCTGGGCAGAGGTTTCAGTAATAGTTTTTAAAACAGTTTAAACATGTTCTCATAAATTCTTGTTGCATATTACAGATTTTCTCAAGTTGACATTAGAGAATTATGTGAAAAATCTAGAAGTACCAGTGAAAATTATTAGAATGGAAGAGCGCTCTGGGTTAATACGCGCCCGCCTTCGAGGAGCAGCTGCTTCAAAAGGGCAGGTCATCACTTTTCTTGATGCACACTGTGAATGCACATTAGGATGGCTGGAGCCCTTGCTGGCTGGCAAGAATAAAAGAAGACAGGTGAGAATTCATGCGCTATGTTTATGTAGGTTAGGGCTGAGCCCTTTTAGGCCTGTTCCCAATTTTCCATCAGAAGTTTTCTTTCATACTGCTGTTTTCAGGATGCTTATTTCCTGAGTGAAAAAGTAAAGCTATCTACCTCAGGTCTCTCACTGTTACTTAACAAAGACCTTGGTTTATTCGTGCTGATCATAAATATTTGATTAATAAATGCAATAGAAGGAGTTGGAGAGATTGTCTAGCAGGCTGGGTGCTGGCCTTGCACGTAGCCTATCCAGGTTTGATCCCTGCACACATAGGGTTCCGTGATCTCTGCCAAGAGTGAGCCCTGAGGGCAGAGACAGGAGTAAACCCTGAGCACTGACAAATATGGCACAAAAGAAAAAAAGAACCAACCCCTACCCCCCCTAAATTAAAGAAAACAGATATAGTAGATTTGTGTTGAATATTTACTTTCATGTGAACTAGATCAGTCCAATATGAATTAGTAAATTCTTATAGCGTATATATTCAATACTTCTTCTAGTATTCTCACAATCATCCTGTGAGATAGGAGATACAGATGTTCTGAGTTATAACTAATAAATAGGGAGGAACAAAGAAATAATTGCACTTTGTTATTGGAAGTGATGGAAGCAAACCAATTTTTCTATTCCCACAACAGTATTGTTTGTATGAGTGCATTGCCTTTTGAGGATCCTAAAAATAAATACACAGTCCTATACCCCACTAAAATGAAATCTTGATCTGAAATATAAGAGCTCAACCATAAGACTGTTCAATTATTTAAACAGTAATGTCACCTTGCATTTACAAATCATGATATCTGCAGAACTGAATAACACTGTTGAAATTAGGAGCGCTCATAGCAGCATGCAGTTTTTTTCTAATGATGATGCTATAAAGAAAATGGTATTTTGCAGAAACTCATAAGCATTGTCCATAAATAACTATAATTCCTAAGCACCTAATGAAGACAGCTAATATTGAGCTTGGCCTGATAAAATAACAGAGCATTGCCCACCACCTCTCTTGCATGGTCATTTCACTTACACTAGAAACGTCTTTTAGTATTGATGTTTTTAATTAAGCATCCATGACAAGGGCTGCTTAGTGTGAGCTGATTCAACTCTGTCAAATAAGTGGCAGGATTTAGTACTTGCCAGGAAGATGGATGGAAGCTGTCAGTAAAATTAGCCATAGCTTGTAAAGAAAGCAGTAGGAATCTTTTAGTCAGTTGAGTGTAGTAAACAGAAAATAGCATTTTTCCCACCCTGTATATTTTTTCAGTACCCACAGGAGGGTCAGATTGGCAAAAGCAAAATGAACTTAGAGCATACTAAATGCATTTACTGGCAAGCTTTTATACATTATGCCACTGGTTTAAATATGTATATCTAATATAACAGAATATTTTAATATAGCATTTTTTCAATATTGGCGTGCTTAGATCATTTATTTCTTTCTATGCCAGCATATTTAGATTGCGTTTGCAGTATAAACAGTTGTAATATCTTGTCCTGGTTATAAGTTCTAAAGTTGCCCAAACTAGACAATAAAATCCTCTTCAGAGTAATTAGATCTAATTTCATCTCCTAGCAAATGAAATCATTAAATTAAATGAATATGTTGATTTTGTTGGGAACAGAGCCACCAAGAAGCTTATGTAATGGTATTTGTTTATGGGAAGGAGACAAAACCAGGAAGCAGAAGTCATAGTCCCATCTAGAGAGTGTTACTGGCCCCTCCTTCTTGACCCCTTTGACCTCACAAATGAACCCAGGACATTGGGACTATTGAAAGTTTGCACAAATACCTATACAGTGTGGACACTATACCCCAAAATGCAGTGAGAAAGCTATGACTAATCTGTACTTTGTGGGAATTCACCCCAACCATTGGAATATTCAGGACGAACTGTGCTTTCTGAGTCTGGAGCAAGGGTTTTGCTCTTCACATGGAAGTTATATTAACAGGGGTAAAAGAAAAGCATTCAAAGGGAAATACAGAGATTTCCAGAGTGAGAAGAGAGCCCCAATTGAAAGCAAGGGATTACACATTTAGAGTTGGGATGTTAGGATCCCATCCAGAATGGGAGTGCATGATATTTGCTTTTGCAAAGTTGACTTTATAGTTTTTCCACACTGCTCTCTACCTAGGGGATTTTGTTGAAAGTAATCTTCACTAGGACTTTGGCAACAGAAATGGGCTTTGAAATTTGGTCTTTTTTTTTCAGTATGATCAAAGATCAAAGTCTTTTACTATTCCTAAAGTTTCTCTTAGGGAATTCAGTCTCCCTGTTGGGCTGTTGTTATTCAGTTCTTATGGGGCTCTGTTCCTGTGATACATCTCTAGAGGAGGTACAGCCTTTGTGACTTTGAGGACAGCCAGAGGGCAAGGGACAATAACTTCTTTTCAGATCATATCTTGATTTTATTACTTCCTAAAATTCACTGCCAAGCACCTTCTTAGCTAATGACCTACTTCAGTTAGAAAATCCTGTTGATATCAGAGAAGACAACTTTGCTGGATATCATGTGCTCATCTTGTGATTATATATGTCCTTGTGATTCTTACTATAATTCTAAGTTGCTCTTCTTAGTAATTATCAGGAAACTTGGGGAGAAAGTGTTTTAAGTACTTGCAAGTCTTGGAAAATACACATACATGCACACTGAGGGTTCCCATAGTAACTATTGGTGAATTTAACACAAAAGAGCATGAAATTAAAGCTCGGGAAGAGAACATCTTAAGTGGCCTAAATGATTAATTGCTGAAAACAATCAAGAAGGTTGAGTCCTTGAGGGGAGATTCTTAATTGACATTGTGTTTCCTCAAGATAACTGTGTTTAGTCATATAAGGGAGGGTTGAGGTGTCTCCCAAGCAGTGCTCAAGAGGCTCTCACCCAGAATCTCAGGACCACTCCCTAGCATATTCAGCCAATTGAACTGGAATGTTCAACGCAATGTTGTCAGTCCCTGTGGTGCTGGGGACTATTGGGCCCATCCACTGTAACAGTTCCTGGGGTCCATGTGTACCTCCTGATCCCCATGCTGACACCCTAAGCTCTTACGCAATCATTTTAAGGTGTTCAAAGTGGATGCCTCTTTGAAGTAGATATGTGGTCAAAGCTTAAGTAACTCACTTATATTAAAAAAACAAAAAAGAAAAATAATAAAACTTCTCAGGGTTTACACAAAATAAAATATTAGAAATGTTGGTGTTAGGGAACCAGAATAAATAATGTTCTTTTGTTTTCTTTATCTGTAGGTTTTTAACTGCATATTTGTATATTTACCTTTATCAAATACAAAAAAAAGAGTCCTGATTTTAAAACTTAGCTACAATGAATACAAAGTTGGATAGATTTGAATATTTACTTTGAGATGGCAGAAGTTAAATCCTAGAATAAAATACATAAAACAGTAATGAGGGGAACTGGAGAAAGAATAACATGAATTAAAAACAGTACAGATAATTACACTTTCACATTTGTGTATACTACGTTGTAAACCTCACCAAAAGTCTTAATTATTTTATTGCACTGCTCTATAATTGACCCTCTTTACCCATTTCACCCACCATCTCACATCCTTCCCTTCTACTGACCATTGAGTTGACTTCCTGTCTGTTTTGTTTTTCATTAGCTCTGTTTTATTTTCAACATGAGTAAAATAGATCTTTCTCCTGCTTGACTCATTTCAGTTAACTAAAATGAACATTTTCCTTACACTAAATAAATAAATAGATAAAAAAAAAAGCATGTACTGATCTCTCATGTGCTCTATCAAGATTAGCAGATCTTCTCGTTCTTTCCCTTATTAAGAAAAATGAATATAAGTATAATAATCTGGAATTTGAAGTTACTGATTGTTTCCCTATTTGAAATATATAGTTCATATTATAAATACGGGTGGAGCAATAGCACAAAGGGTAGGGTGTTTGCCTTGCACACGGCTGACCCCTGTACGATTCCTCTGTCCCTCTCAGAGAGCCCAGCAAGAGAGTATCCCGCCCACATGGCAGAGCCTAGCAAGCTACCATGGTGTATTTGATATGCCAAAAACAGTAACAACAAGTCTCACAATGGAGACGTTACTGGTGCCCGCTCGAGCAAATAGATGAACAACAGGAGGACAATGCTACAGTGCTACTATAAATACATGCTGAGTTCTTTTTTTTTTTTAATTAGTGAATCACCATGAGGTACTGTTACATACTTACAAACGTTCGTGTTTGCCTTTCAGTCAATGATCGGTTACCCATCCCTCCACCAGTGCCCATTCTCCACCACCAATGATCTCAGTATCCCTCACATGCCGCCACCCACTGCCCCTCCCCACCCCGCCTCTGTGGCAGGGCATTCCCTTTTGTTCTCTCTTTCCTTTTGGGTATTGTGGTTTGCGTTAGCGGTATTGAGTGAGTGGCCATTGTGTTCAGTCTATAGTCTATATCCAGCAGATCCCAATCTGACTGGGTCCTCCAAACACCCATTACTTGATGTTTCCTTCTCTGTTTGAGCTCATGACAGTTCACATAGAAATTTATTTCATAGGAAACATACCTATTCTTACGAGCATGGTTTTTATTGATCGTTTTGAGTTTTTGTTGTTCGTTTTGGGGCACACCTAGTGTGTCCCAGGGTCTCTCCTGACTCTGCACTTAGGAATTACTCCTGGCTGTATGTGTAGGAAACCAGCTGGGGTGCCGGGGTAGAATCTAAGTCCCCAGCATGCAAAGCAGTGGCTCCGGACTTTTTAATTTATTGTAAAGTTTTATTTATTTTTCCTGGTAGGTATTTTTCTTCATGGAATTTGTTTCAAAACTAGCTCTTACAACTGAGACAGTTTAAAGTTGGGACACAAATTACCATACGTATTTACCATTATCCATTTTCTAATTCCTTCATTGTATTGCTTTCCAGTGGACTATAATCAAAATGATGCTTAATATGAGTTCCTATTACTAACCATGCTGTGGATAGAAGTTTTGTGAATTACAGACTATATTTATCCTGCTGAGCTAATACTTAGAACTCATTTGAAAATCAGCTTAAAGATCAATTAGTGCATTTGATTTGATTTTATGTGTGAAAGTATAAAATAGACTGTAGGAAGTAGTTACTGGTGCCCGCTAGAGGAAATAATTTTATAGAAAAAACGAATGAATGAAAATTTTAAAAAAGCATTTGTATAAACTGCTTTTAAATTTTCCTGCAGGAAAACAGTTGTATGTCCCATCATTGATGTGATTAGTGATGATACCTTTGAATATATGGCTGGGTCAGACATGACTTACGGGGGTTTTAACTGGAAACTGAATTTTCGTTGGTACCCTGTTCCCCAAAGAGAAATGGATAGACGGAAAGGAGACAGAACATTACCTGTCAGGTATGTGGATCAAATCTTCTGAAAGATATAATTTCTATTTATTTATAATTTAAAGGTTAAAAAAGTTACATTGTTTTTAATAAATCTTTAAAGCCATATACATTTTATTATATTCACAAGTATAATACCTTCTGCTTGATTCTCTAAGAAATAATGACAAAGCTAAATCTACTTGAAATTAGCAGAGGCAAATTTAAGTATTGTCAGTGTGACAAATTTTTTTTTGAAAATTTGTGTTTGAATATTTAAAGTACATTTATTTTAAATCTTCTATGTAATCTGTATATTCTAATCTTGGCAATTGAGGTAGATGGTTATCTAAATGTATGTGTGTTATAATAGAGCTATTTATAGACCAAAATAACTAGAAGAATTTTTGATAAATATTATAAATTTACAAAACTTAAATAAGTGTATTCTTTGTAAATGAAAAGATCCATTTGTAAAATCAAAATCTGCTAGCAATTATGAAGAATTTATCATTTACTTTATTTACTTATTAAACACACAACTCAGAGCATACGCCTCGCATATGTGAGTCCCTGGTCTCTATTTCTGCATCAAAGAAGACAAAATTAACCCTTTACTTTAATAAACCATTTGTATGTCATTTGCCTGCAACCCAAAATCGGTGTATTTCACAGTTCCTAAAACTGTAACTATTTTTCGACCCAGTTTGCTCTTTAAAGATAAATTTAGCAAATAGATTTTTGGAATAATGACTCTAACATTCTAGTTTTGGGGATTTGGAGTGGCCTCTCAGTTAGTGCTCTATTTCCACTCCCTGCAGTACCCAGCCAACAAACATGGAGGTTCAGTGCTTGAACTCAGAGATTGGTGCTGTTTGGGTGTTAACTTCAACAATGCTGCTCAGGCCTCCCTCATGGCCATGTCAGGCAATCCTGGATTGAGGGGGCATGTGATGCCTGCCCAGTATGTAACTTGCATTCAGGTGCAAGCAAGGCATGAACCTTTAACTACCGTGATCTTCTGTGCCTAAGATCCTAAATTTCTAAAGCAACGTACCTAACTAAAAAATCTACATAAGAATGTCTCCTAAAATTCTGATGTAATGATATTCCTTGTCAAGTCTAATTTTTATGTTGGATTAATAAAATCTAGTTCTAAAAGTCAGTTAATCATTGTAAGCAGTTATAATTGTTATTAAATAGTTGAAAATTGAAGTTTTAACATTGCTTAAGTATATATTATAAAGAGAAAGATAAAATGTCATTCTAGACAGTTGCATAAAACAGCTGAAATTGTGATATTAGTAATTAAGGTGTAAATTAGGAGCTTTTTTTTAAAATCTTACTATAACCTACACTTTCAGCAACTCTTCTTGATTCTTGCATTAACAAGAATGCTGAATCTCAATATTATAATTGTTTTTAGGAGACCCCTAGATCATTGTTTCATTTCACATTCCCTGAATTTTAAGCTTCATGTGCCAATTTAATGAATCTCTAAATATTTGTGAATACACAAAATAAAGATAATGTTTATTTATTTGAAGATAAAGTGTAAAAGGATGTCTTAGTATTCATTTTTAGTGACACTGGCAAAAGATATGCTAAATTTAACTTTATTTTCTCACTGAGTCAGAAGGTAATTAAGAGGGACATTTATAGTAATACATTTCTGATCTCATTTATAAACATAAGATCTAAATAGAAATTGAGTGCTATTTTTAATCTTTCATTAAACAAAGCAAAAAGTAAACTGTGAAATTTCCAGTTATCCAATTTGCTCAAAAGATTTTTTTTTTTACACAGGACTACACACATCCAAAGTGAGGGTTCTGCCACTGAGTTACATCCCTGGTCCCAAAGTGCTCTATTTTAATCAGATGTTTGCGGTTTATAAAAGTTCAATGGAGAGCTAATAAAATTCTAAGGATATTTTATTTTTTTCTCTTAATAATTGTTCAGTACTATACTTTTGAAAATGTTGATGGAAATGGAGTTCGAGAAACCTCAGTCTTTGCTGAAGTTTCGAGATTTTTATGGCAAAAGGTTAATTAATTCACTGACTGTGTTGTAATAGCCTGCAGGTAATTTTCATCAGCAGAGCTGTAATGTGACTTTCTTTGTACTTTTAATCTATTACGCGAAGATGTGATCATTTTTTCTCACATTCGTACAAACAGATAAATCATTCTAGGTGTTGAAGACATTTTTTTTCCAACTTGATTAGCAGAATTCTGAGTAGCTAAAGTGATTAAAATTAGTTTGAAATTTCTGTTTCCGTGGCCATATGCTTGATTTTAAATGTCAAAGATAGAACTTTCTAGTAACTGTAATTGGATAGTTATCATTTAAAAATATAATTGTGCATCTGCATACGTAGTGATCAATGTGAAATTGTGATCTGACTATAGATAAAACATATTTAAAGTTTAAAATGGTTTTACATATTATACTGTTGTTGACTTTTGGACTTAACATGAGCTTGTGAAATACCTTGTTAAGTTACAAATACGGAAAGTAGTGCACATAATCCAGAGTCTTTCCAGAGTTTTCTTTAATCAGTAAACTAACCTTGACATCTTAGTGGTGAATTTATATGACTTTTCAGAAATATCTTAATTATATGTGTGACAAAAGAATAATCAAATTGTTAAGCCAGAGAACTATGTCTCAAATTTGTTGTATAGATGTTTTGACTGCATATTATTTTACATTAAAATTATGAATATTAAAATTTATGTGTTTTCAATTAAAATTGTTTCTAATGAATTTTGAGAATGTATAGATCTCTCTACAATGGTCTAGTATTTTTAATTGGCACAATCAGGTAGAGTTGAGTAGAAATTGCCATTAGATGTCAGATTAAAGTTGAATTCCATTTACCACCCTTTTGTACATTTCCTTGACTCAAGACCAAAGATTATTTACTATTGCTAATTATTCTTCCACTGGGAGAAATAGCACTTTGTACCTGTCCCAAACAAAAGTGAGAGAAATAATGCATATCTCAACTCATTAATTTTATATAATTATTTTACTTCCCTGACTATCTCTAAAATTTGTGGCCCTTAGCTTATAAGCTACTCCCTGGGAAATGGCTTGGTTTGAATCTCATCAGACGTAATAGTTTTGGACAAGGGCATACATATTTTACCTAGTGAGGTTAGCAATAGGTAATATAAATTATCTAGTTATGTATATTATGCATATATTATCTTCTGAATTCTTTCATTAGATGAATATTATTATGAAATTTTCAAAAACATATAACTTTTAGATTGCTTTGGTTTATGATATTGAAATGAATTTGATCCCATATGCAAAATAATATACATATATACTGTAAATAAATGAGCACTACTATTTTCTGCACATACAATGTTTAATAAAATGCACTCTACTCTAAAATTTCTTACTGTTTGCTGGACAAGGGAAAGAGGCTAGTATTAAATAACCAGAATGTGAATACATGAGCTGAACTGCTAGTTAGTGCAGAGCTAGTTAGTGCTAATTAGTTAGGGGAGATAATATAGGATGTAAAGTGCTTGCTTTTACATAACGTACGTATGTACGTAACCCTGATCCTAATGCAACAACTTAGTTTTTCAAGCACCTCCAGTGATCACTCCTGAGCACTGATCCAGAAATGTTCCATAACACCACCTGGAGTAGCCCCCAAACATAAATATATGAATAAACAATAGAATGTTAAAAATGACTAGTGCTCGTGATGACTCTGGGGTAAAAAATACCTGTCTTTAATTGAGTTCCTCTCTAAATTACTCCATGTAAATATCCTTCAATAGTTACAAAAATAATGATTTCCAATTTAAATTCTTAATACTAATAAAATAGATTCTTTATAAGCTTTATTATAAACTATTTTTCCAATATACATTTTAACTTAACTTTCTTTACCCATTATATTTTATCTCATGAACTCAATTGAATTTAGTCATTATTCTTAGGATAACTGACTCCATAATTCCTTGTTGTACCATACTCAATGTCTTTCTAAAGTAAAACTGCAAAGTATTAGACTTTTTTTTCTAATCTTGCTATTATAATAAATATAACACGTATGTAAGTTTTTATTCCTGACACATTTTGCTACTTTGGTATTCGTTTGTATTAACATATGACAGACATATACATTTATTTTTCTCTTACTAATTGCTAAAAGTTTATAGATAAGATCAAATGACACAATACCATCTTAAGATCAAATGGCACCATGTTATCTGATAAAACCATATAACTCCCTAACATCTCAAATTACCATTGTTCTGCATTTATTATCAATGCCTCATAGAATGTTCATGTATATTTGTTCCCTTCTACTACAAATGTAATTTCATAGAAGAAACAATGAAGCTGATTTGGGAGGATCTATGTTTTATTTCAAGGCTTTGTAATTAGGATATTACCCAATCTTATCAATTATAAAGTGGAAAATTATATCCCACTCTTGATTAACGCATGAATTACTCTAAAATGTTAAATGAGAAATGAATTTAAAAGGAGTTATTTTAAATTACTCTTTGACTATGTAAGTAACATATAGTCATTGTGAAACAATGTGCAAGTGCCTAAGATTATAAAGAAACAGGACACCAATGAACCACCTTTTAACCATTTGAAATATTTCTTTACAGATGCATTTTTCTTTACTTAAATATTGAAAGCCAAGTATTTTCTATTCCATTCAAAGTTTTAAAAATAAAAATTGTCAGTGAAACTGATCACTGTATCACTGTATTCCCATTGTTCATCGATTTGCTTGAGCGGGTACCAGTAATGTCTCCATTCGTTCCAGCCCTGAGATTTTAGCAGCCTCTCCTTACTCGTGCTTCCCAACAGTTCGAATGAGTAACGAGTATTGTTACTGTTTTTGGCATATCAAAAACACCACAGGGAGTTTGCCAGGTTTTGCCATGCGGGCGGGATACTCTCAGTAGCATGCTGGGCTCTCTGAGAGGGACAGAGAATGTATATAAGAGAATACAAGCAAGTAAATAAAACATGTTTCAA